GGGAAGAGCGCAATGATGGTGCCAACTTGGGCCAGTGAAGCAACATCCTCCACAACTAGAATGAAGAACAAAACGACAGCAACTTGTCTGTTCCCCTTCCCCCAATTCCCCAGCACTGTTCCTATTCCCCTAATTCCCCAATAAAAATCTTTTAAAAAAAAAAGAAGAAAAAAAAGATGATCTATTTGAAACAACCAAATTTTCACTTAGAACATAGCGCACAATTTCCCTGAGTAGAGTCACAGAAATGTTTACCAGTGAATGTCTTAATTCATCATTCAGCACACATTTATTGAATGTCTGCCATTTAGAGCACAAAGGGTAAGATACAAACAGAAGCATTATGGAAAGTCACAGAGAAGAGGGGTCAGCAGAGGTTTTAGATTCCTGAGTTGTTTTCCAGGAGGGATGGTGTGATTAGGCCTCAGCCTGCTCTTGTGACCTTACATTTCATGATTCCCCTTAAAAGTTCGTTTCTTGTTACATTGAACATATTCTGTGTTCTTTAAACACAGTTTGCATTTTCTTCCTTCCCTTTATTTACTTCAGTTATCTATGTTTCTTCCCCCATATTTGTGTCTCTGAGTGCTGCCCATTCTTCAGATCCTAGCATGACCACCACCTTTTCTATAAAGCCTTCTTTGATATGCTTGAATACAATTTATTCTTCTTTATTTTGAACTCCTACAGCATCTAGTCTGACCTGTCTTATGGTACTGCCACTTTTTGTTTTTGTGTTTGTTTTTTTGCCTTGGATTGGCATTATTTGTGTATCTATTTTTTCTCCCCTGGTAGGCTTGTAAATATCATGAAGGAAGGATTTACCCACAATTCACTTTGTATTCTACACAGTGACTAGTAGTATATCATTTTGTACAAATTAAGTACTCATTTTTGGTGAATAGATGATGTGGATCTAGAGATGAGCATTAACTGATGGACAAGATTTGGGTAAAAGGAGTAGAGAAGAGAGTATTTTAATAGGCTTAGGGAGTGAAAAAAGCACGAGATCGAGCTAGCAGGCTCAGTTCTGAGATTTGTTCCTAGAATTCAGGGTTCATCCAAGGAGGATGGGGTAGTGATGGGGAAGACGCTCCACACAGTTCATTCACGCACTGAGGAGAGGCAGCGCCGTGAGCCACTAGACACTTCGGTGGCGGCCTCCATTGCTTCTGGGAGGACTGCAGCCTGCTCAGCCTCTGGCCCCCTGGCCATCAGCCTGTGCAAGCAGAGGCTACAGTGTTCTGTACCAGGCAGTAGCTTGTGATTAGTATGCTGTCTGTGTTCCCAGATGGAACAGATGCCTGTCTGCTTCCGTCTGCTGAACGATGATGGCAGGTTCCCAATGATCAAGATCCAATTTCACATTTTCTCAAACAACTGTGACTGAGAAATTCTGTTTGGCCAGTTGTGAAGTCCAGCCTCCCGCTTTGCAGAGGATCTTTCCTTTACAGATGAGTATTGACAAAGGGTGCGGTGGATAGGAGTGGTGGCATCACTTAGCACCGCCTGGTGGAACAGGTGATTGGAGGGAGGACTGGGCGTGGTCTATACCTGAATGGACTTGCTTTTCTGCGTTCCTTTCTCTCCTAACACTAGGACCTTTGCTGATCTTGTAATTCCGTTGCTTACAAGAAAATATCTGGGTTTTGAAATAATTTCTTTTCACAGGTTTCTCTTTGGAAGAGAAAATACATTAGCTGTTTTGTTTCCTGTGTTTTCCACCAGTTTTATTGAGCTATAATTGACATATAATATTGTGTAAGTTTAAGGTGTACAGTGTTGATTTCATACACTTGTACTGCAAAATGATTACCACCATAGCATTAGCTAACACCTCCCTTACATTATCTAATCATTGTTTCTTTTTCTTGTGATAATATTTAAGATTTGCCCACTTAGCAACTTTCAAGTGTATAATTATTGTTAACTAGAAACACCATACTGTAAATTAG